TTTTTTTTTTTTTTTGGTTGCAGCCATCATCGTTGTTTGGTGGCCTGGGCTAGGGATTCAAACCCGCCACCTTAGGTGTATGTGGTGGCGCCTTAGCTGCTTGAGCCACAAGCGCTGACCCGAAACAGGAAAATCTTAACTGAAAACCTTGGCATCAGAAAGGTGTGTGTAAAAATGGCCCCAAAGGAGCTCACCAGCAAACAAAAGCAAAGCGCTCACAGGGCTCACAGGGCCCAGTCTGTGAGGGAGTTTTTGGCCAGTAAGTAAACAACTGTATTGGAACACCTTCCCTACTCATCTGATCTGGCCCCTTAATGACTTTTTTCTTTACCTGAAGATAAAGGAAATAATAAAAGGCTGACTTTTGATGACATTCAAGACATCAAGGCTAATACAATGACAACTCTGATAGCCATTCCAGACAAAGAGTTCCTAAATTGCTTTGAAGAGTGGAGTAGGAGCAGCATTGGTGCCTATCCTCCCATGGGGAGTACTTTGGAGGTGACCATACTGATATTCAGCGATGAGGTATATAGTACTTTTTCTGTGATGAGTTCATGAACTTAATTGTTGGGCCTTGTAGAATTATTCAGAGAAAAAAAAGAAGGGCAATTGATATTGTTGGAAAAAGATGAATTATGCACAAAAATCTGAAAATTACTAGGGACAGTGTTTGAACCTTTAAAAAAAAGACAATTATACATTGCTAGAGCCAACAAAAAGGACCGTTTAGTATCCCATGAAAATAATAAAGCAGACCAGGCCATTAAAGTAGCCACCCAGACCCAAACTCCCACTGTTATGGGCCTAACCTCACACACAGCCTCGCTCGTGTGCAGGCTGGTCTCAAATTCATGAGTTCAAGCTATTGCCCTGCCTTGGCCTCCCAGAGTGCTAGGATCACAAGCATGAGCCACTGTGCCTCGTCCTCCAGAATTTTTAAAATATTTGTTAGTAATAGTAAACAAATTTACTAGATGAACAAAAGCCTTTTCTTGCTATAATAAAAGCAGGTAATAAAAGCCTTACTTAAAAAAAAAAAAATCCCCAAATTTAGATTGCCAGTCACCATCCAGAGTGATGACAAGGTACCTTTGTTGGCAAAGTAACCCAGGAGGTATCCAAGCACTGGTGATTAAATGAAAATCACCTGTCTCTTGGAGACCCCAGTCCACTGGAAAAATGAAACAGGTGACCCACTCAGGAAACAAATCTGATAGAATAAGGTATTGTCTGCTGTAATGCTTAAAATTAGAGTGGCCTTTCAGAAACAGGCTTAAATTAAGCATCTGTAAAATGCTGTCCAGGAGACCCTTCCTATGTTCTGAGCCACTAGGCAAACAAGTAAATGATTTAAAAATCAAAGAGTCAGACACTATCAGACACACCTAATTGTTGGGACTAACTTTAAATGTCACCCATAAATTACCTCTAACAGGATGATGTGTCCTCCTGATATCTCTTTCCAGAGGGTGAGGCCAGGAACCTGGGTGGTCCACAAAACATCTCTTTGAGGAATGCCCATCTCAAAGACCAACTTATACCCTGATAGGTGGGAGAATATCAGGTTTTGTTAGTAACACATTCTTCTATTAAACTGGGAAGAGTTAAGCTGTGAATTCATTATTCTTGGATAAAGCTTATTCCTGACCCAGCCAGGCCAACCCTGGAAGACTCCACTTCTGCTAATTCCTGCTATCCTAGGAGTTAGAACCAGGTCTTAAATGAAAAATTATTTTAAAAAAAATCTACAGATAATAATAGCTGATCCTTGGCCCTAGCTACCTGTTATGTATGCTGGGGCATTTTCTTAATTTCCTCTATGCTTTCCTTCCCATGTGTGATGCCCAAGTCTTTTAACCACTTTACTTGCAAATATGTAATTAGAAATCAAGCTTATTATTCATTTCAGGCTTACATAGATTGTCTTATTTTTTAACTAGCTTATAATAATCATTCTACACCATATAAATCCTTATTGTACTGACAAAGATAAATGAGAATTTCATTTTATAAGCTTAGATAAAATTAGACATATTGTTATTTGCTATATCTTTCTAATTGTCCCTCTAGGAACTGACCAACATGATTCCTGTCTGTGTCATTGCTTACACTCACATTGGAAGATGAGTCTACAGTTACAATTTCTCGATCTCTGGTCTCTCTGGGAAATTCAACCAATTGCTGGATATGTCACCCCAAACTATTTTCAATGAATGACTATAATGACCCATTAATCATTCCTGTAATGAACTCTGTGACTGTTACCAATTTTACCATAAATATAATGGAAGGTCTCCCTGGGACCTGTCAAATAAAGGTAATAATCCAAGGGTCTCCAATTCCTTGCTTCCTTCTAACTCTTTTTCAAAAGAATAAGATATGCTCTATACCCTTGAGGTATAGATTGTCCCGAACAAGATAACACAGCCTGGTAATCAACTAGCTCTTTAAAGTCTCATTTTTGGACCCATTTAAAGAACACTGCATTAAATAAAGTTGCTCTTATGAGGCCCCTGTTTCTTAGAGTTACCTTAGTCAGGCCTGCCAAGAAAATTACCATACTCTTCTCCTCTGTTTACTCCAGACGAGACAGAAATATCGGTAGCCCCATTCCCAGTTATTACGATCCCTTAAAGACCTGCCCAGAAATACCCAGGTCTTGCCAAACTAGCAACTCTTAACCGCAAAGCAATGTCCAGGAATAAAAACAAACCTAAAACTACTCGCTGTGGATCCATGATTTAGTCCAATTCCCAATGTTCTGCCATGAGACTATTCCTGGTGAAAGATGGCTGAGAGATGGTCGATTTGGAGAAGGAAGTTTTTGGTTGTTGTATGTTTTTACCCTATAATCTTAATTCAAGAAATTAGCCAAATGTAATTCACAAAGGAAAAAGAAAAAGACTGGGGTGGCGGGAGAGAAAACAGTAAGTAAATGTCTCGGGTTGAGGTCTGCAAAAGTATATCTCAAGTCAAGAATTCAGAATTCTAAGTAAATGTTCCCACAGGAATTAGTGAGCGGAGAATAGGATTAGGAAGGGGGAAAGCCAAGCCAGGGTATGATTCCAGGTGAAGCCCCAGATTCTGCCTGATCCTACAGGGAGCCCTGGAACACATGTGACCTCAGAATTGTCAGTTATTCTCACAAACAAAAAGGGGGGGCTTCTCACACTCTCACACTAGTCAGTATCACTGGGGAGGGAGGGAGCTGCTCCAGTGTCCAAGGACAATCCTCAGAGTGTTCCAAACACAAGCTGTCATTGAAGCCAGAGAAGATTGGGGGATGGGCACACAGAGCTGATAAAAAAGATCCCAAGAGATCTGAGCAGGCAGAATGGTTTTTTCTCTTTTAAAAAGTTTATTTCTAGGGCAGCGCCTATAGCTCAGTGTAGGGCGCTAGCCACATACACCCAGTCTGGAGGGCTCAAACCTGGCCCCTGGCCAGCTAAAACAACAATGACAACTGCAACCAAAAAAATGGCAGGTGACTGTAATCCCAGCTACTTGGGAGGCTGAGGCAAGAGAATCGCTTAAGTTTAGCCCAAGAGTTTGAGGTTGCTGTGAGCTGTGACACAACAGCACTCTACTGAGGGTGACATAGTGAGACTCTCTCAAAAAAGAAAAAAAATCTATAAAGTTTATTTCCAAAATAAGAAGAAGGCTTAGGGAAAAGATTAAATTTGTTGTTATAATAGAGGCAGCTTTAGAAAAGTTAGGTTATATTTGTTCACATAAATTATGTATAATTATATATATTTATCACAGATATTTCATACAGGTTATTTCCTTTAGTCAGAATTTAATTGTCTTTAAGCCCACGTAAGCTAAAAGAGCTCAATTTTTGGAGATAAATACACTTGCAGCACAAAGAGTGAAGGCTCAAGTGAAAGAACAGTGCACCCCAAGTCCACGTGCAACACACCTCAAACTGAACTGATCTTCCCTGTAAGGATGTTTCTATTTCTACTGATGGTCTCCAACCTTCTAGAAAAATCTCTCCTTTTCTTCTTTAATTCAGTTGGATCCTACCACTCCTTGGAGGATAAAGCTCCCTTGGTCAATGGAATTAAAATATTTACATCTATTGATAAATAAATCCATCCTGAGAAGAGAGAAGAGAGCTGGGCACAAGAAACAAGGTGGGGAAGGAAAGGGTGTGGTCAGGACAGAAACAGACCCAGTGAGCGTGAGTGAAAGTGCTCAGGGTCATTTTCCTTACACTCTCCCATCTACTGAGTCTCTCGTGAGGGGACAGCTGAGCAGCATTATAGTTTGAAGTGGAAGTATCATAATACAACTTTTGTTCTAAAGTTATTACTGATGGATCAAACCTGCTAAAATGAGCAGTATATGGATGATATGTCACAGACTATTTATTGCCTTTATTAATATTGTATTAATATTGTATTAAATATTAATATTAATATTTTCATGCCCACACAGAAGCTATTAAAAAAGATATACCATTTTAAAAAAATAAAAAGAGGTGCCATTTAAAAAAAGACATCTATCTTATTTATTTGTTTGAACTTAATACCCAAAGTGATAGTAAGAAGATGCCTTTTAAAGAAGAGGACATGCTGCCCCCTATTGAAACAATGTAAATACTATGGACGCCTGAGTTCTAAAAGCATTGAGCTCTTGCCAACCCAGAGCTAGTGAAGAGCCAACAATAAAAATTCTAAAACAATTTCATAGCCTTTTCAGTCCTGGACTTTACAAAGATTTTCACTACCAAATCAGCTTTAAAAGGAGCTTCAGGGCCAGGAAAACCAGTTGTTCTTAGACCCATGAACTCGTGTGAAGAACAGGAGGGTTTTGCACCTGCTCTGTACACCTTTGCTTGCTGTCTTGCCTTGTCTCACACGGGAGTGAGAAGAGAGCTCATGGGATCCTGAAACAGAATACCTGTCCACTGGCTCCCAGGAAAGTCACCTTAATTTAGTTGGGGTCCTCTCTATAGATCCTTTAGCAAGGAAATTGTTACCTTTCATCTTTCATTTGGGATGAAGGCAGAAAGATACTGCAGATTTCTTTGTCTGTGAAATAGTAGTAGGGGTTCAGGACTTTCTACAATCATAGAGTGGTCACAAAGATGAAATGGAATAAAGCATGAAGAAGTGCCTTGTAAAATATTTACACATTCGATAATGTAGAAGCTTATTTTCAGACTTTTTTGACCTCTAGCGACAATGGCTTATGCTAACTTCTCACTCATCCTGCTTAGGAAATTTGTCTCATGACAAATAGCCTACATAAGAGCCTCTCTGTTACAGTTTTGGTCTCATTGACTTGGATTTTAATACACAGTTTCCTAATAAATAAAGAAGTCATTAAATAAAAGTTCCTAGTGTTTGCTAGGAAAATGTTTGCAAAAGAAAAATGTGAGTTTGGGGCATTTTAATTAAACATCATTCCCTTGTCTCCTCCTGTGACCATGTCTCCTTCCAAAAGTTTGTCATTATTTTCAGATGATATCTTCCTTAAAACAATTTCAGAAACATCACTTTGGGCATCAGATTAGAACATATAGAATCTGGAGCAATGTTCTTCCATTTTTTCTCATCTTGACTCCATTTCTACTCCATTAAAAAGGGAATTAAGTCAGCTCAGCGCCTGTGGTTCAAGCGGGTAAGGCGCCATCCACATACACCTAAGGTGGCAGGTTCAAATCCAGCCAAGGAAAAACAAAAAAAAATGACAGCTGCAATCCAAAAATAGCCAGGTGTTGTGGCGGGCGCCTGTGGTCCCAGCTACTTGGGAGGTTGAGGCAGGAGACTCACTTGAACCCAGGAGTTGGAGGTTGTTGTGAGCTGTGATCGCACTCTACCAAGGGGACAGCTTGAGACTCTGTCTCAAAAAAAAAAAAAAAAAAAAGGAACTAAATCTACTCAGACTTTACTGAATATACTTTTTTCCAATTCTCTCCTATAAGAACAAGGATGACCATGGCCACCAAATTTGCTGTTTTGTTGTTTTTTGTTTTTTTTTGAGATGGAGTGCCATGGCATCACAGCTCACAGTACCCTCCAACTCCTGTGCTTAAGTGATTCTTTTCCCTTACACTCCCAAGTAGTTGGGACTATAGGCACCTGTCACAATGCCTGGTTATTTTTTGGTTGTAGTTGTGTTTGGCAGGTCCAGGCTGGATTCGAACCTGCCTCTGGTGTATGTGGCTGGAACCTTGCCACTTGAGCTGCAGGCACCCAGCCCACAATTGCTGTTTTAAGTCAGAAGCTTATTCTAATCAAAAAAGCAATACTGTATGGTGATTTTGTGTTTATTTTATTTTTTTTGTTATAAAATTGTTTTAATTGAGTTCTTTCTGCATTATAAGCCATCCAGGACGGGCAATGGAATGTGCTTGTGGTTACTGTTAGCTCCATGTTACAATACTGAGCCTGGAATCAGGATTGCTGTTATCAAAATATACATCTGTGTGTCACCATAAAAAACAGCGTGTTGCTGCCCCTCATATCTTACAACAGGTATAAAAAATTATAAATATTTACACCCTTGTTACACTCCTTTATGGAAATTCAGGGATCCAAGGAGAACCTCCCCCTACCCCCCCAGGACATCCTTGCAGAGAGGCTGGAGGGGAGTGAGAACAGTTAAGACTCAGGACCTTCGTCCCACCACCTGGGTCCCAGCATCAGAGGCAGACAAAAAACAAATGAAACTTTGGTCCAAAATTTGAAGGAAAAAAAACCCTGAAAAAGTTTTAGAGAGCTTGTTTTCCTCAGCGGATTACAAGTAAAGGCCTGGAATAAGGCAACTGAAGGTTATGCACAGAGGAGGCAAAGGTGGGGCGGGGCCAGCATCCCTTCCCTGAAGCTTGGGGTTTTCTAAGAAAGGACCTGGGGCTCCCTGGGCCCCCACCTGCTCCAGAAACTGGATCCTGCCTGTAACTTAATTACAAGGAGTAAAATGAAAAGTACAGTATACAAGGTAATACCACAAGAAAGAAATTTAGATTACACTCATACCATTGTATTATCTTGCTATGAAAAGTTACTTAAAACTATTTCTTTTGCATATAAATGAAAAAAGATTAGAATATTTGGTCAACTGGAAATATTGCTAGGCACAGATGTCTGGTCTGACTGTGTCAGAGTATCATACAA